AGAGTATTTTTATACTCTTGCAATATGTTGCTAGTGAGTATAATAGTTTTTTCACTTAACACTAGATTTACCATCTATTTATATACTCGTATACCTACATGTTTCTAAAATAATAATTGTAATATATTATATAAATAAATTTATAGACATTGCGAAATAACAAAACACTGAATTGTTTACAGTCACAATTTCTACATACAATAAATGTAGATAAATTAGGCTGTGTGTACACTTTCCACGTAGAGTATTTTTATACTCTTGCAATATGTTGCTAGTGAGTATAATAGTTTTTTCACTTAACACTAGATTTACCATCTATTTATATACTCGTATACCTACATGTTTCTAAAATAATAATTGTAATATATTATATAAATAAATTTATAGACATTGCGAAATAACAAAACACTGAATTGTTTACAGTCACAATTTCTACATACAATAAATGTAGATAAATTAGGCTGTGTGTACACTTTCCACATACTTTTTTGGCGTGTATTGCATATATTTGTAACCTTATTGTTATTGCAATATCCTATTTGATACTATTTGCGAAAAGAAATATTATTAATATGAAGTACAATCGATACAATTAAGTTCGGAATATAACATCTTTCAAATGGCCTCCACGACTTCTTTTGCAGGAACGAATTGGATGAACCCAATTTTCGAGTACTTTTTCCACTAAATCAAATCGTATGTCATGTATAGCACGTCCAATATTGACTTCTAAGGCTTGAAGAGAGTCTTGTTTATTGCTAAAGACCATTGACTTCAAATAACCCCACAAGAAATAGTCTAATGGTGTTAAATCACAACTTCTTGGAGGCCATTCATACATGCATGCATTCGTGTGGCATGTAGCACCGTCTTCTTGGAATCAGATGTTGTCAAGATCAACTTCTTTCAATTGCGGCCATAAAAAGTTGATTATCATCGATCTATACCGCTCTGTTTTTTTGTTCAAGGTCTGTCAAAAATACAAATTTTATTTTTTTTCTTCGTCCAATAACGAGACTTATCCATGAACTAACGAAATATTTTAGAGTTTTTGATTTTAGATAAACCAATAAAGAGACTTCAAAGGGATTGAGATACCAACTGCTAAGTTTTCGGAATTTTTAATTAAAAATTTAACAAAATACGTATATGTATCTTTGATATGCTGAATTGTTTAAATGCAATATGTGATTGTATATATTCAAAAAATAGAAAAAATACCCTTTTTTGAACCTCTTTAACGTACCTAACCCCTTAACACACTCTTTTCTCTTTCGTTATTACTGGCGGTGTATTAGGTTTGTACTTCGTGATAAAAGTGAAAGTAAGTGAAGTATAATTGCTGGAGGTTCTCGAAAATTTTCTCTCATTGTTTACATAAGCAGGTGCTAGCAATATATGCCTAAAATCTTTGAGACAAAAGTCATCAAATCCTAATACTGAACTCTAGTATGGTAGTTCTTTATAAGTATAATATAAAATTATCTTCAAAAGTCATCAAATCCTAATACTGAACTCTAGTATGGTAGTTCTTTATAATATAAAATGATCTTCTTCTGAGTAGTCTGTACTACTTAATTATCCTGGAGACGGTCAAATAATTACGTTTAGCATTGTTTATGTGTGAGTGAAGTCTAGTGCGCAAGCGTTCAAATAAACAAGTAAAACATTATTTTATATTTGCACTCACAGCGTTCGGTTGCCATGTCATCATCGGAAAACGATTTACTTTTATTAAGGTCTGCTGCAGCTTTATGAGGAAAACAGAACGTGTTAATAGCTACATATAATTTCTAAAATTACTAACCACTGGTGGGGGGAAATAATAGACTTACATTCATTGAGAAATAATGCATTCTGATTTTGATTTAATTT